ATGATCCCTGTAGGGAAAACTTTTCACATCAAATTCGAGTTCTCACAGGCAGCTCAGCGTTGTAAACTCCTACAGGATGGTGCATTCCCTTCCTGTGGGCAATGCAATTGATGTTTTTTGCTCTTTACTACTCACTGAAAAAAATGCCTGTCAGAAGCAGCTCAGCTGCTTCATCTGTGGTCTGATGTTCTGGGGCAGAGGAGAAGCAAGGGTATCTACATGGGCCTCCTGGGGTTATGGCTGACTCCCCTTGTCTGACTCTTTATCTCCCTTGGGTGTGTTTCCAATGGAGTTCAGGTTTGGTTCCAGAACCGAAGAGCCAAATGGAGAAAGACAGAGAGAGGGACCTCAGACCAGGAGGCAGGAGCCAAGGAGCCCATGGCAGAGGTGACACCACCGCCAGTGAGGAACATCAATTCTCCGCCCCCAGGGGACCAGGCACGGAGCAAGAAGGAGGTCCTGGAGGCCCAGCAGAGGTAAGATTAGCTGGCTCTAGGACTAGGGGTCTGGGGTAGCTCTGTAGACAGGCTGAACCTCAATGGAATGTTCTGTTTTCACCAGCCTGGGACGAACAGTGGGCCCTGCCGGGCCTTTCTTCCCCTCCTGCTTGCCAGGGACCCTCCTGAACACAGCCACTTATGCCCAGGCCCTGTCCCATGTGGCGTCTCTGAAAGGTAAGATTTGCTGGGTTGGCCAGTGCAGAGGGTGGGGATGATTGAGAGGGTGAAGCCTGTCTAGCCTCCCTGCTGTCTCTGCTGAGCAACCTCCTGCTCCTCCACACTTGCTGTCCTGTTTGATTTCCAACAGTCTGAGAATGCAGGGGCACGTTACTAACATTCATCCCACTCACGTCAGGGCTTTTCTTAGAGGCAGCCATCTCAGAAGCAAACACTCCACAGCTTCCTCCCTTCCCCTGCTCACGGTTCAGGGGCTGACCTGGAACTCAGGTCTGGAAGGGATGGCTCTCCCTGGTTCTGACCTGTTCATCTGTGAGTCTTGATTATTTGTGCTACTCAGGGATTCCTGGGAATAGAGGTCTGAACCCATAGGACTTTTGATGTCTTGTCAGTGGCTAGAATTATGGGAGGTGAGACATTTATTGTAGTTGTTTGATCAGGCGCAGGGCAAAGGCCTTTGCAGGGCTATTCCTTGGGGATTTCTGGGGCACCATCCCTAGAAGTAAGGGTTCATCTAGTATCTCTCAATTCCAGGCCATAAAACAAAACAGAACAGAACCAAACCAAACCAAACCAAACCAAACCAAACCAAACCAAACCAAACCAAACCAAACCAAACCAAACCAAACCAAACCAAACAAAACACTGCTGGAGATGTTTAGCCAGTCAGGCAGCTCTGCTGGCCAAGAGCAAGGAAGAGCCCCAGGAGGGATCTGGGAAACTGCTGTGAGTGCTGTCTCAGGAAGTCTGGGGATGGGACTGCGGGTGTGGGCTTGTAGGTTTTCCCCTGAGAATAGGCAGTAGGGGAGGCTTCCTAGGATAGCTACTGCTTGTTCTGTTCTATGGTCTTGTGGTCTCATCTATCATTGGCTTCCAAGGGGTTTCTCTGCTGTAGATGTGTTAAAGTAAACACACACACACACACACACAAGAACCTTCAGCCATATTCTGCTGGGGTACTACAAGCCAAGCACTCCTAATTAAAAACTCTGAAATCCAAAATGCTCCAGAATCATTTTTGAAGATAGAGGTGATGGACATGTGGAAAATTCCATACTGACCTCACATGACAGAGGTTGTCAAAAGGCAGAGGTGCTAAAATTACCGTGCAAAATTACCCTCATGCAGTGTGTAAGTGCGCACGAAACCTAAACAAACTTTGCTTTCAGATTTCTGGCCCAACCCCAAGATACCTTATTATGTATATTCAAATAGTCCCCATAAAAAAAAGAAAAAAAAATCTCAGATCAGAAACCTCTCCGGTCTCAGGCATTTCAGACAAGGGATGTGTACCCTGCACAGAGATGGCTGCTTAGCCAGCTCAGGGTCCCAGAGGAGCTTGGCATCATCCTGACAAAGGGGCAAGCCACAATCCGTCAGGCACCGTCAGCTGCAGTCAGCGCTTTCAGCTGCAGCGAAGAGCCGCTTCTAATAAGCATGTTCCGCTCACTCCATTCCAGCCCTGTAAAGTGGGGGCGCTTTGCACATTTCTCCCTTCTCCCAGTTCTTGGGATGTCTCTGACCATGCAGTGGCTGGGGTAAGGGTAGATTGGGCAAAAGCTAAGCTTTGAAACAGGAAGGGAAGAAGAGTCCAAAAGCAGTGGGTCATGGAGGGCAGAGCTGGCATTTGTGCTTCCCGTGTCCTTGGTGATGTCCTGAGGTAAAGGGCAGGGCGGGTAGAGGGTCAGCTGCCAAGCTGGGCTGGCTGTGCTCACACACCTTCATGCTTTCCCTGCCCTCTGTTCTCCCTTCTGTCCCTTCACTAATCCCCTGTGGCTGGGCTGGGCACCCCTGGAGGCTGTCAGGTGCCTGCCTTGTTAGGAACTGAATTCCTTTGACACTACATTGCTTTGGGGGATCTGGGACTGGCAGGGCCCTGCCGAGGTGGCAGGAATCACCGAGAATTCATGAGACACGGGTATATCTCTGTGAATCGCGGGGGCCAGCCTGGCAGCCTGCAGGGTCCTCAGGTACATACACTCTTCCTGGCAGGTCAGGGTTAGGTAAGGAGAGGGGGACAGGCTGTTGGGACCCACAGCATGCTTCTACTACGGTAGTGATGCCACAACCTTTTGATACGGTTCCTCAGGTTGTGGTGACCCCCAACCATAAAATTATTTTTTGTTGCTACTTCCCAATTGTAGTTTTGCTACTGTTATGGATAGTAGTGTAAATATTTCCTGAGAGAGAGGGTTGCCAAAAGGGGCCATCACCCACAGGTTAAGAACTGCTGCTCTAGGGGCAGGCGAAGGTGAGGGACCTGAGCTGGGCAGTCGCTCTCTATCCCCCTAGGTACATGCGTCTACTTTTCTGGAAGCATGGGGCCCTTTGGATTTGTCATTTTCCTGCTTCGGGACAGGCACGAGCCAAAGGCAGAATTCTCTATGACTAGACACAGTGACAACAGGAATGATGCCTGGGAGCTGTCAGGTTTGGCCTGGGCGGAGGTAGGGGTGGAGTTAGTCGGCTTTGCCCAAGAAGGGGCAGTGGCTTATCAGGCTAGCTGATGGTGGCGAGTAGGAGAGTGGACAGTTCTGCTAGAATTTCTGAACTTTCTATAGAAGTTGAAACTGTGTTTTTATTTGGAATATTCCCCTCTTAGTCCCTTTGGGCAGCTGTAGAGAAGCACATAGACTGACATAAAACGGAGGCATTTTCTTCTTGTAGTTCTCAGAGCTGGAAGTCAGGGCGCCGGCAGCATGGGCCACTCCTGAGGGACTGGCTCTGGGCTGCATTCACAGCAGAGAGAGCAAGTGAGCTAGTTCTCCATCAGGGGAGCCTCATTCCCCTCAGGAGGGCTCCGCTCATGTCCTTGTCCCTCCCAGAGGCCCTACCTCCTAACACTGTCAGCACATGATGTCGACATATAAACGTTATCCTATCACTCAGTACACATTAGTTTCCATCTTTCAAGTGTTGCCTCCACCGCAGCACATCCATGAACAGGGCTGGTGACCTGTCCTGCCCTTTGTGGCCCCCACTGGGCCGAGAAGGACTTTTCTTTCCTTCTTCTCTGTCTGCTTTCTGAATTCTTCTCCTTGTGTTTCTGTTCCTCTTTCCTCTTCAGATCTCTTTCCAGCAAAACCCTTTCCCGGGGCTCTCCCTGGCCACCCTCTGTGGCCCTGGGTCCTTCAGTCTCTCTGAACATCTGGCTTTTCTACTTCCTACGAGCAGAGCCACAGGGGAAAGGGAGGGAAAATGAGCAATGACTGAAACTCTCCTGTGTTGGCCAGGCAGTCTCAGGTCTTAGTTAAGCTGAGTTCTTGTAGCAACACAGTCAGTGTTGGGCCAGGAAGGGGTTCAGATAGATTGCTGGTGCTGGGATGGCTGAAATAACGTAGATTTGGCACTCCCTGTTGTGGTGGCTCTTCCAGAAAGGACACTTTCTGAGCTGGAAATCCCTGGGGGCTGAGCCACAGTCTGCTGTACCTTTAGGCGGGCTCTGCAGCGCCCTAGCTGCATTAGGGGTAACTCTGAACCAGGATATAGGCTGAGACGTGTCCTTCTATTGTAAGTTGGCTCCGAAAACTCTTGAGATTCAGCAGTCAGCTGTTTTGTGGGGCGTGTGTTAAATGTTTTGGAGATGGGTCAGCTTCCTGACCACTCCTTTCTTCCCAGGCTTCCCCCAAGTGAATACCAGCATCTAGACTCAGGAGGGAAGCCTCACTTTCTAGGACCTGTTTGCTTTCCAGGAGCCCTAGTCTGTGACTCAGTTTCCATCACTTTCCCTGCACCCCTAGATCCTGTGCAGACCTTGCCGACTCCACTGTCTCCTACTCTTGGGCTTGAACTCAGTGGCCAAGGGCCCTGACCAGTACAGAGGCTCCATGAGGCATTTGGGAAGACCATTGTTCGTACGTGTGCTCAAAGAACATGTCTAGGCTTTCTATAAACGAAAAACTGAGGTTCAGGGTAGGAAGTCATGTGTTCACCTCTGGCAGTGCTGGGGCACCTGTTGGGCTTTAGCAGAGGTGGATGAAGGACACTCTTAGGGCACAGCCATTACCAAGCACCCCTCTACTGTGAGTAAGCAAGCCAGATGGATCCCTAGAAGCTTAGTGTCTGTAGTCCTGAGCTTTTCCTTTGATCCTGTCCAAAATTCCAAACGGCTTTTTTTTTTTTTTAACTCTACTTTAATTAGGTTGTTTAGGCCTCTACCTCTCTTTCACCAACCTCCCAACCCTAAGTAGGAGAGAGAGAAGGTTAGTGGGGAGAGGGGCCCCTTTTACTTCTGGCTGTTAGGGTCAAGGCGTTCTTTTAGGGCTATATCAATCTCTGTCAACAGCAGACACAGCTAGCAGTCTTCTCCAAGCTGCTTCGCCCTGAAGCGTTTCTCTCCGTCTGTCTGCTCCAAACTGCCACACCGTCATCTCTCTGGTCTCTCCAACACTCTCCAAAGTCACATGCCAACACTGCAAGCCCCGCCCTCTCTTTCTTGGCTCGCTTTTCTATCCTCAAAGCCCTAGACCACACCCCTCTCCATGCTGCACGTGGCAGGCCGTTACCAGCTGGCAAGAGCCACACCCTGCACAAGACAACAGCTGTGGACAAACTAAAGCTCAGACTAAAATCCCACATGCGGGATTAAGACAAAAACATATTTGCATAATGTAAAACCAAATCTTCCATCTCAGCTATTTCCCCCTGCTTTTTGAATGTTAAGGTAATGGAGGGGAGGGATGGCTTCCTTAAGAAATTGGAGGACCAACTTTTCTTCCTTAGAAATTCATGTTCAGGGAAAGACCTGGGACTCAGCTAGAAGGCTGGAGAAGCCAACATTGGCCACTGTCTGAAAAATTGATACATCCCATCATTTCTGTGCATGCCCTGAAGGCTGGACTTGATGGGTCTGCCTCGGGCCCAGGAGGTGAGGGCAGAAACTACCCCTTGCTTCTCCCACTCTATCCTCCAGTGCTGGCAACCCTGTGCTGTAGCCCGCCAGGTCTATGGGCTGTAGTGCTTACACAGGAACGCGGTGTTGGGTCGTGGGGGTTGGC